TTAAGGCAAAAAGAAAGCCACTTTAAAATGCTTTATAGGATGCTTCTCACTGTGTGGATTGTTACAGCTTTTCTGCAAGGATTCCTTTAAAAAATTCTGTATGGTTTCTTTTGATGTTGAATGTGAGGAATTTAGCATAAAATTTATTTTAGATGTTAGTACGTTTGAGCCACACATTGTGGAAGTTTTATTTTTTACATTAAAAGATCACCGATTTCAGGGATTGATATATATATATATCCATATCTCAATGGAATGGGCTTGATAGCTGTGGTTATGACTGTGATTCCATCATGATTTTGTAAGTGGAGAAAGTGCTTTTTGAGGTGTGAAATGACTTGGGATTTGAAAACACTCCCACCAAAAAAATTTGAAAAACAATGTGCAATTCCAGTCAGTTCCATTGTGGCATAATTAAATCCACAGCAAATATATTAGCAGTATGGTGGTTTATATTTTTAAAATGTATCTTACATTATGTATTTTTTACATTTTTCACAAGCTATGTACAGTATCACAATTATTGTAACTTTAAGCACACAAAGACTGGCTGTTCCTACATGGAATGCAGCTTCATTCTGTCAGTAGTCTGAAGACAAGAAACTTTGCTCTATAAATGTGAAAATCCAAGAAAACCAGCATTTTGTGGTACCTTTTCAGGCAATAGTTTTGATTACAATACTCCAGTGAAATCTGCATATCTGTGTCTTTATCCTGATTTATCAAGCTGCTTATATGGATGTGATTTATGCTAAAAAAGTATGTGCCCTGCCTCTTTTTCTTCATGACCATCTCATGTGAAAATGAAAATGCTCAAGGAAAAGTTTTATGTTTTGAAAGAGTAAGATAGTGAAGATTATCTGTGTTTGTTTTTTACTGCCATCAAGTTTCATAAACTCTAGAAATGTGCAGTGTTGCAGGATTAGGTTAGCCAGGGTGTCACCATAGCAAACGTTTCAGTTTCTTGGTTACAGATAAGAGCAAGTGCAGAAAAACGCTGTGTTGCTTTTTTCCTTGGTCAATAAAGGATATGTTTCGGGTTAATTTCTGATGTCGGCAGGTAGGAGGACATCCTACCTCTGACGTCTCAGACGTCAGACGTCTCAGAGCCTGGGTTATTTCCAACAGCCAAGACCCTTGAACTTTAAATGTGCTATAGCCACCTACCAAGATCGCTCCGATACAGCAGTTAGTAGCTGTGCAAGCCTGAGTGCACTACTTGAATTCAGTAGTGCAAAGTTAGTGTGATTTGGTTTGTTTTGTGTGACCTTTGCAAGGAGTATGTGTTCTTGCAGTTATTTCTTGAAATACTTTTTATATATTTTAAAAATGTAATGTTTTGTAATGTACCTGTGTAGTGCTGTTAGCTTTCAATAAGTTGAAAGGTTTTAAACTGCCACAGCTGAGTACTGGAAGTAAGGAGGTTCAGAGCTGATTGGAAGAGAAGTATGTCCAATCAAGCATCAAGTTATAATGCATGCTGTTTCACTGAGAGCAAGAAGTGTCCTCTCGGAGTCATCCCAGGCCTAGTCCTGGTGGCTGTGAGCCAGTTGAGCACCACTGCTTGGGGGAAACCCAGTCACAGTTGGCAAGCAGCATGCCCCAAGCTTTAACCTGCGACTCAACACCAGATTAGTGGAATTAAAGAACTGTGGGCTGTAAAATAGAAGTCTTTTTGACTGATGCATTAGAATCCACTGTAGAATGTGTGATTATGCTTTTAAGTTCTCTTTTTCATTCCAGCATTTAGGCTGTTTGGGAGCATAGTAGTGCTTCAATTTGTGCTTTATCTGTAAAGATTCTTCAGACATTTTTTTCATGTTTTATACTTAGTCTGTAGTCTTATTTCAGCCTGTTTATCTTAAGAGGAAGTTCCATATGTACAGTTTTTCTACTAGGTTACCCACTAAAGATGAACATTTTCACAACGCAAACCATGAGTCATACACTTCTTAAATATACATTAGCCTCTGATAATTTAAATGAAACTTTTAGTGTATTTTCTTTCATTTTGTCCTTCATTGCATAATGGCTGTGTTAGATGAAAGGGACACGGCAGTGAGACAGATTTCAATTGCTTTATGAAGTAAAGTTTTTAAATTCATCCTGTAATTTAAAAACAAACTGAACACTTGCTCTTTTTAAATTGGATGTGTCCCATTTATTTGCAAACAGATTAGTTTCTTTCATTCCCTTAAGCACCGTCGATGTCATTAAGTTTCCTTCTTTTCTTTTTCTTTAGCATAAAACATGATACAATGACTACTGTGAAGTCATTGTATTAATTTGTTTACTTAACTGCTCTTACCTCAGAGATTTTTTATTTAATGGGAATAATATACAGTACTTTGGTATATACAGTTTTTAATATATGTGCCATTCATAAATAGTGGGATGCCATTAAGTAATATGATGTAGCTTCAGATCTTTTAGTGGCAGTTCCACAAATGTGAATGTGGTATATTCTCATTGATTTGATCAATTTCACATTTTTAGTGAATTGACAAGTATATACTAAAACATCAAGTGCTCTCTTTTGCTCTTTTATCTCTTATTGATTTTACAAAAGAAGTGTTTAAACCTCAAGAAGTTAATTATTTACCTGTTGGTTTCAACAAAATGAAAGGCATCTGTGCAGTAAAGTTTTCTGACATCTACAATATGGAGTACCCAAAAAAAGTTTGCACTGGTGGGTCTGTAAGGTGGTTCTTAACTTTCTGTCCATTTTGTTATTTATTAATGAGGGCTGCCAACTCAGTGGCCAGTTGAGTATCTGCAGCCACCATTTTATCACCAAACTAGCTCCACAGACTCTGTTTACCAGTTGTGTTTATTGGTATGCTGTATAGCCTTAATTCCTTTATCTGCTGACCTGAAGTTAGCCTCTGAAAGAATGTGGCCTGCAGCTGAATGAAGTAAAGAAATGCATGGCTGATTGCCAGTGTACAGTGGAAGTTGGATAGGTGTCATTATGCTGTATAAAAAAGATCCAAAGGTGGTGTTTACTTTTTGCTAAATTCAATGTCATGGCATGGTCCTGAAGAGTGGGTGCTTGCTTATTTAAAAGTGATAAGCTGATATGTTACTGATGTGAAATCTACAATAAGACTGAACTTGAAAGTAAGCTTTCACCGATAAGTTGTATTGTACTGTAACTGGCAAGGGAAGAGCAGAGCCTAGTTTAAACTTCACCTCATCTGGCTGAAAAATGTCAAAGCAATGCACTGTTATCTTTTGATTAATGTATACTGTACTCGGGCTTTAGGACCACTGTGTGGGTCAGGATGAGCGCTCCCTACTGGTCTTACTAATACCTCTTCCAGTAGCAACCTTAGCTTTCCCAGGAGATCTCCCATCCAGGTACTGGCCAGGCTCACACCTGCTGAGCTTTAGTGGGTTGCTAGTTGTTAGTTGCAGAGTGATATACTGTACAGTAGCTGATGGCATGGAAGGGAATCCTTTAAGCTGTTATATCATCCAGTATCTCAAATTACATTCATTTTTCAAAAGAAAACTTGCAAAAGGCCCAAGGAGATTGTTGTAACTGTCAACAATTACGTAGTTTATCTTGTGTACTCATACATTTTTGTGGTCCAGACTTTAGAATGGAAAGTGCCTGCTGAAAATTCTTTGATGATGGCAGACTTAGGGGACTGTTTCAAATGAAACTGTAAAAATATTAAGTGTGCATCAGTTAATCAAATAATGGATGTACTGTAGCAGTTGCTACAGTTGGCAGGAATCAGAATAGACATATTGTTAGCTGCTTGTCTTGCTGGGTGTGTAGTTAAATACTTTTACAGCCCACAGGCAATATTGTAAAAAGAACTGCCTATTTCCCCTACTGTTTTGAAAGGTCCACAGCTGCCAGATGTCATCCTGATAGAACCTTTGTAGTGTCAGAGCTGTTGAAGGTAATGTTGTTTCCAAAAGACATTGATTTATAGATATAACTGAGCTTTGAACTCATGATTCCTGGATGAACATAAAATTTACATGAGAAAAATTCACAGTCTTGAACTATTTGTCAGTCAATAGAGTGTCCCTTATGTAACATTTATATGATTGACATTTTCTCTAGACATAGCTGTCATGTTTAGAATAAAGTAATATGTTGTCATTAGTTAATTACAATCATTTTTGGTGCATTGGAATAGCGCTGCTACATATTTTAAAACTATAAGATTCAGAAAATAAAATTCCATATGATAGTCATGAATGATAAACAATGTACTTATCTTTACTATCTTTAGCCATCTAATATTTTATACCAATAATATTTCTATAGGTACATACCAATTTATATGTATATACTGTATTTTATCTCTTAATATAACTATAATATGTCTAGTACAACTTCTGTAGATTTCTGGCAGTTGAAAGATCCGTGATGAGTGCGGTGGATCTATTAAACGGTGCTCAAGGGAGCAAAGAGATTGCCAACTTAGTCTGAGTTCCAGAGAATGAAATTCATTTTAATGGTTTTTGTCATTGCTTTAAAGGTCAATTTGAAAAATTGCCATTGCAAATGGTTGGGGCTTAATCCTTCAAGGAAGGATTAAATTCATCAGTAAGTGATGAGTCAAAAACTCAGTCATCTGATCTATAGGTAATTAATAGATCGGGTATAGATATAGGTAAATAAAACTGCCGAGCCAACAGAAGCATTGTGCAGGTCTACCTGATGATTAAATGCATTTTTATATGTTATTTATATGCAAGAAAATACATTATGTGGTAGACTTTTGACTGTTTTATGCTTTATGGATGGTCTTCTTCTGATGCTGTGGTTTATTGAAATCTGAACTTTTTTAGATAAGCGTGTGCTGTGCTGCATATAAGGAAAATTCAGCCTCTGAAAATGCAGACTCTGGACACTTTGACTGTGGTGCTATTTAGATTGCTTTCCATGTGCAGGGAAGGTGCAGGGAATAATGTACTTGAAGGTATAGCAGTGCATTTTAAAATGGATGCTCTGTGCCTTGTTTCTCTCTTGACAGATAAGACAGCAGCTTGCCCTTTGCCCAACCTACGATGAGTGCCAAATCAGCCATCAACAAGGAGATTTTTGCACCGCATGATGAAAGAATGCTTGGAGCTGTCCAGGTTAAGAGGAGAACGAAGAAAAAGATTCCCTTCTTAGCCACTGGAGGCCAGGGAGACTATATGACCTATATATGCCTGTCAGGTAAATTGCAACATTCTTACAGCAGGCATGATGCTGCATTAGGTGGGTTAAGATTTTATCAAATGTCATCATCTGGTAAAACATTGTGGCTGGCATCATAAAAGCCCGAAGTGACAGAGGCGTTAGCCCTAAAGAGCGAGATGGAATGATCTTGTGGACTTGATTAGGGATGTCTGGAATGATTCATTTCAATGTCAGCTTTCTTGTTCAGATGGGGGAACTTACTGATCATAGTAACCATTGCGGTATCCAGAGATGGAAAGGGCTCTTTGGGCAATTCCATTTGTATATTCCCCTGCCACCTGTAATTCCCAGAGCTAAAAAAGACATAACTACTCATTATGAAGTGAGTGTACTGTAGGTGTTAACAGAATATTAAATAGTAAAATGTAAATTTGCTGTGCTACACGTCCTTTTGTATATGCACATATGCTTTGATAACTGATTGTAAGGAGTTGTTTTCAAAGTTAGGAAAGAGAGGATTTATTTACTACAAAATGTTATTTTCAGATCTGATTTTGTTGTTTTATACATTGTGAGCTACTTTATGTGTCGACTTAAAACTTAAGTACTATTATATACATCATTGCAACGTAGTTACATTATATACATCAGTTTACGAGAATAGTAGTAATGGAGAATGTTACAGATTACTATTGGGTATGACTTGCCTGTGCACTAGCACAATCCTGGCTACAATAGACCCAGCACACTTCCTTAACAGCTGTAGCCAGCTGGTGATGATTGACTGTTCACTGTTGTCTCCTGTTCATAGGGAATCTGGACTCTGGTCATGAAGGAAAGCTGGCCATTGAAATACCTCAAAGTTATTAACTTAAGATCACTTTATTGGCCATATAGTCATAAGCACTACAGGAAGGTTACAAAGGAGAGGGGGGTGATTTGTTCCATCTATCCCCTTTGGTAGTTAGTAGTTAATTTGCCAACAGCCACATCACCCTGCAGTTCACATCTGGCAACCCACTGAAGCTCAGCAGGTGTGAGCCTGGTCAGTACCTGGATGGAAGACCTCCTGGGAAAAACTAAGGTTGCTGCTGGAAGAGGTGTTAGTGGAGCCAGCAGGGGGCTCTCACTCTGTGGTCTGTGTGGATCCTAATGCCCCAGTATAGTGATGGGGACACTATACTGTAAAAAGGTGCCGTCCTTCAGATAAGACATAAAACTGAGGTCCCAGGGTGCTTCTTGAAAAGAGTAGGGGTGTAACCCGGGCATCCTGGCCAAGTTTCCCATTGGCCTTTGCCAATCATGGCCTCCTAATAATCTCCCTCTGTGTATTGGCTTCATTCCTCTTTTCTCCTCCCCACTGATAATTGATGTGTGGCGAGTGTTCTGGCGCAATGTGGCTGCCGTCGCATCATCCAGGTGGGGCTGCACATTGGTGGTGGTGGAGGGGAGTCTCCATTACCTGTAAAGTAGTAGTTGAGTGGAGTGTCCAGAAAGCGCTATATAAGTGTAAGCAACAACATAACTGCATAGGTTGATTCATACTCTTGTAGTCCTTTTGGTAAAGTACTGACAGCTGTTCTTGATTTTAAATGCACTGCAATGTATTTTCCACTTTTTTCCCTCTGGTTTGTGTTTCACTTTTCATTCTGAAAGTCTGGACTGACTTTATCAGTGCCTTTGAGGATTCTGAATACTTGTAGCAGGTCCCCTTGTAATCTTTGTCAGTGTAGGACTTTCCTTTAAGCCCAGGGATGTATCTGGTTGCTCTTCTCTAGATGCATTCCAGGGTAGCAATATCCTGTCTATAATGTGGTGAGCAATATTGTACACAATTTTCTAAATGAGGCCTTATTAGTGTATGAAGTGTCACCTTTCTTCTTGTGTACTGCAGTACACTGACAGGACGTTAGTAGAAAGACGTATTCCTAGAACTGTGTCCTTCAGTTGCTTGGAGGCATGGCAGGAACTGAGAAACATATTTCTCAATAAAAAATACTGCACTAAAATAGAAAGCTTGAAATTTTATTCTGGCTTCAAGCAAAAAAAAAATTGCCTAAAAGAGTCCTTTGTGAGGCAAGTGATCAAATTCTTTTTACTCTGTTTCCACTTGAGCTCTGCTTGGCTGTCTGCCTCTGTGCTGCCTCGCCTTTGCTTTTCACTGAGATGCATTGCAGAAAAGAAGATCAAAGCTAACCGTTAGATTAGTTAACCTGTTAACCTAATCAGCCCTGTACTCTACCAGTGGTTTTCATTATTTTGCAAAGAACAGCTCAGCCAGCCCTTTCCGAAAACGTCTCAGGAAATAGGCAGTATTTTAATGGCTTACTTGTGAAATGGATTGATAGGTGTGAATGATAACTGAAAAGAATAAAAATTGTGATCCATATCTAAATAAAGTTCTGAAACCCATGTCTGTCGCAAAGGTCCCAAAGTTCAGAGACACAAGGGAAAAGTGGGGGAAAGTATATGTAAAACCCCAGAACATGTGACATGTTTTTTTTTCCCCACAAAGTGTCGTGAAAGTCTTGGACAAGCTGCCAAGCCATGTGGTTAAAGCTGGGATCATAGCTTCTTTCACTAAACTAAACTAAAATCTACTTAACTAAACAAGCTAGCAGGATGGACAGGCTTTCTCTTTTTAGCGGCCTTTGTGTTTTTATGTAGGACTCCTCACAACACACTGCTACCACCCTATGGGTTAGCTTGAAGAGTGCAAAAGTCAGCATAAAGCTAACTACTGCTCACGTTTTCTTCCATTAGCTCCATCAGTTGCATAATGATGTTGTTTGGTGAATAAAACAGTTTGACGCTCTGTCTTTAACAGTGTCTCATATGTTCTTTGGCGCGGAAACGATTTCTATTCGTCTCTCAGCTGTCAGTATGGTAACCCATAGACTGCCTCCGCATATGTGGATCGTTTTGATGTAGACAGCAAGCTGCAGCTGTTCAGTTGATACACACATTATTTCTTTGAGGTGTGTTTCGAGCTGTAGCCCCTGCAGTCTGACCATTTTTACACAGGTGAATCGGATGGATGTGATAGTCTTGTACTGAGTGGTGACTCTCTGTCTTCTGGGACATTGCCTGTTCCTCACAAAGCCTAGTTTCCTAGTTTCTCCTGACTACTTGCTGATTGGTGAAGCAAAACATCTTCTCTGGAGAATTATTCTGATAGACCACCTTAACTCATATGGTTAGCAACTTGTTAAGAAAAATATGTACAGGTGGACAGATTTAAAAAAATAATTCCTGTTATTAAAGGTTATTTGACAAAAAGCAGGCTACAAATTTAGGAGATATGAGGAATGAGAAATAGGAGAAAAAACAATATGACTTTTAATACAGTAATTTATTACAGTATTCAGGAGAAAATATTAGTGATATTCTGTTTGTTGTAAGTTTAAAAAGTTTTTTCCCCCCAAAGGCTTCTGTGATGTACTATATTTTATAGTAGCCAACATCTTGATGCTGAAAGAGACCTTTTGGGTTTGATTTGCAGAATGAGACAAAATGCACTGATAAGGCCCAAGCACAGATGCATTTTATTATGCGGGCAGAGCTTGGTTTGACTTCACAGAGATTTACTTAAATATTAATTTGGTTATGTACAGTTATGAAAGCCCTTTCAGTTATTTGCCCATTTTACATTTCTATCAAACACTATAATTTGTAGTTTACAAAGTATATGTATGATATTAAAATACTTTTCTAGAAAACACATTACAAAGCTAATCATTTAACTTTGGCTAAGTGCATTTTTACATCATAAAGCAACTGTTATACAGACAGTATCTTTATTTAGATCCTGAATTGTAAACTTATGAGTGCTACTTGGGAAGTGTCACATTGATCAAATTTAACTTAATTTTAATTTCATTTAAATAAAGTCCAGCCTTAATTTTGTTTTGGTTAATTTCTTTCTGACTTAAAATTGCTTCAAACTCTTTAGTGACAAGCATCTCAGGCATTGATAAGACAAGTTTGTCCAGAATTTCATAATTCATGTCATTCCTCTGAGTCTACATGAAATTGTACAACAAAGGTGTATTCACTCTAACCTTGAGATTGAATTAATGTGTGAAGTTTTTGGAGTTTTCTTTGCATTGCAAACAAGTATAGTCCATTGTTATGCAGATGCATTTGTTGCACAATGGAAGATGACAAAAACCTCTCCTGCTCGCCTTAGTTTAATTAGTTTTGCTCAAAGAAAGGTACTCTTTTGTCCATCACTGCCTAATTAGAATTTGTATACAGTTTGACTTTGATATTGTATTCCTGCATGGGGTAGAGAAGGTTTCACACTAAGGCATTGTTCATTGTTAACAGTAACCTCATAGAAATTAAATGTATAATTCCATTAGGTTTTGGCTTTGAATTCAAACAATAATTCATTAAATGATGGAGTGATTAATGATAGGGTTATTGAAGCCTGATCACAACAATGCTGGATTAAGGTCATGATGTGGAGTAATTTCTGTTCTTACTTGCTGTAGGCACTGTGTAATTAAAATGCATACTCTCTCATTAGACCACAGTGTGACATTATCTATCATCCATTTTCTATATAATGCAGATATGTCTCAGGCCATATGCTATGTGTGGAAGTCTGGTAGATCTCAATTCTTGTTTATAGCAGACTTAATTGATTACCAGTGTTTCCCATTGCTATAAATTGAACCAATATTTTTTATTACTAAGAGTCCCAGGGATCCCTTAATAACTGTGATATTCAGATGTGGATGGTTGATGTTGCACTAAAATAGTTATGGGGGGGAGTTTGTTTAGCTAGGATCACATAAGTGGGTAGGATATCATTTGTCAGTTGACAATTGGTAGTTACATGAATAGGTTGGAGTTGACGTTTGTACTCAGCAGTGCTTTGTGAAAGCTTGTGACTAAGAGGTCCTGAATCAGAATGCGAGCATTGTTTATTTCTTCATTTTATTTGCATTTTATGTAACGCATGGAAATGCATCACAGTTCAAGTGTAGCTGGTAGATAGACAACATTTCAGAAGAAGTTAGAACTATTAAACAAAAGCCCACTCATTTATTCTGATCACTGGTCATATTGTT